TTCTTTACCGATTTGATTTATCTCTTTCCGTTTGGAAGATAAGAGGTAGGGAACCTCATTGGATGACCCTCGTAAATGGACATCGGACGTTTTCGCATACTTTTGAGGTTCGACCCCCTAAATGGGGGCGAAAAAACAAAAAACAGGTCAAATCCGTCTACACATAGATGCGCCTACCCTCGAAGATGACGTTAAGCCAAAAAACTCAAAATCCAAAAAAATGGACATCGGACGTTTTCGCATACCTCGATTCATTTAGGAGTCTATCCTATCAATGCATAAGCATCTGATAGCACATCAGGAATTGTTGTAAGTGTGGTGCTGGTGCAAAAAAAACAAGAAGTAACACTTCTTTAGCAAGGCCCTGACGCGAGGTATTTTTGCATTTACCTTAGCACGCTTTTGTCAACTATCATTCACCGATATTTTGTGATACCTAAAAATATCTAATGGACCTACCTACCTAAAATATCTAAATATCTAATATCTAAAAATATCTAATGTATTCTTTGTGACTACTTAGAACTTGTATTTCACCGGGCTGACAAATACAAATTAATTTAATTGGTGCTCAATGTGTAAAAAATGAGAAATTTGGATTAACTTTATTTGAAACATGCAAAGATATTTGAATAGTCTTGGTTCAAGGGATTGAGTGTTTAAATCGTACATATGTAATTGGATTTTTTTCCTCCTTGGCTCCTTACCGTTTTCCCCGAACTTTTTTTCTGCATATCCATAGTCCCACCAAGTTGGAGGCTAAAACAATTGATTTTGACTCATGAGAGGAATGTTTTGGATTAAATGATCCGTGAGAATTCTGCGAAAGTGTTGCGTCAAATCAGTTGGCCCACTCTATGAGTGCGTTAGTAGATCTAGCTGCCATTTTCTCTTTCAGATTGCAACTAAATGGAATAGGTACTCATGCATGATGAAAGCTCCTCTTGGTGGTTGTGTGGTTGTTTTGAGAATATTTCCTGAATTAATCTCGAACTCAAAAAAGCGGATATATTTACTTTTTAATGATGAGCTCGAAGGCATTGATGAGAATAGTATCAAAACTGTGACCCAAGCGTCACAATGGAATAGTATCAATATGGATTTTCTATGCACTTATTACATTTTCAATATTACTTTCATATGGACAATGTGGAATGCAATCTTAATGGAAGTAGGTACATCTGTACTGAAGCAATTTTGACCAATACACCTGAATTCCATAGGTACAGAAGCATGTTATGTATATTTCTTAATACTGTTAAGGTAGGTGAAATTAAAAATGAAAGTAAAAAAAAAAATAAAAAAAAATCTAATGTACGTAATCCATTTAGTTTCTACATCGAGGACGCATTCTCCTTGTGGAATTCATTTGTAGATGTCCATTGAAGGAATGAAAAGGCGAGCTGAGCATGACTAAGAAACCTTCATGAACTAGAATTAATCGCTTAATTTTTTCACTACTTAAATATAATTTCTTTGTTCCGAGTTAACAAAGAATTGAATGCATTACCTAAAATAGGAACAGCCCGACAGCATTTCACATTGCTTCGTCCCTCTCATAATTCCTTTTTCCCGATCGCAGTCTCAACTAGTAAGAATGCTGCAATTCCTGTAGCTGAGGATTCTTAATTATAATTTTCATCTATATGAATGGAAACAGAAAATTAGGGAAGGAAGTTACGAGCTGACTGCTGAAACCTTTTGGTTCTGAAGTCCAGAATTCCAAGAATGATAATTGAACGTCCTTGATTGATCGAACCCCTTTATTTCAACCAATACTCAAAGCCAATTCGGCCTTGCTTAGAAAAAACGCCGTATGAGCCTTCAGGCGTTACCATATTTCCTTCGACAAATCATGAATTTTCGGAAAAAATATTACTCTTCCGAATGGAGATGTTGCATGTGTGAGGAATTTGCGATTTGACTGTTGATTATAATGTAAAAGTTCGTGAGAAACACGATGGTGCCACTGGTTTTCTCTGAAATCATCTCCCAAGCTCAAAAAAAGCTCTCAAAGTGAGGCCAAAATGAAGGGGATATCCCACCCTACCCTGAGAGTCCACCTCTACATCAAAACAAACTCTCCATGCAAAGATAGGGAGCAAATACATGAGCAGTGATGCCGTGTTTTCAGTTTTGGAGTCCCCAAATAAAGTGGCAACCCTGCCAATGTATTTGCTCCCTACCTTTGCATGGAGAGTTTGTTTTGATGTAGAGGTGGACTCTCAGGGTAGGGTGGGATATCCCCTCCATTTTGGCTTCTTTTTGAGAGCTGTTTTTGAGCTTGGGAGATGATTTCAGAGAAAACCAGTGGCACCATCGTGTTTCTCACGAACTTTTACATAAGAATCAATAATGGTCAAATCGCAAATCCCTAACACATGCAACATCTCCATTTACGGAGGCTTTCGTTCGAAATTTGATCTCAAAAATCTGAAAATTTCAAGGGAAAATACTCGTAACTTTCTTCAAAAATTTCCTGAGAGGAAATTTGGCAACATTCTAATGCTTATACGGCGTTTTTCCGGATGTCGTACAGCATGTGTACATCCGTCCAGATCTGAGGGCTCCTTTAATGCATCTTTGGTGTCCAGAAGGGTTCTGGTCTCACTCCCTTCCCTCCTCACATAAA